AACACATCCAAATAAACTTACCCTTAAAGCAGCCAGTTATAGTCCACGGCCACACCACCCTGAACAAGCCCGATCCCGTCTGACCTCGGAAGCTAAGCAGGGTCGGGCCTGGTGAGTACTTGGACGGGAGACCACCTAGGAAGACCAGGTGCTGTAGGCGTAAAAAATTAAGATGAGGTAGGGATTGCAAGGTGACAAGTTCCTTGTAATCTGTGAGGTCGACCAATCTGTGAGGCTTCGCCTAAAAAAAAATTTTTTTTTAATTTAAAAAAAGTTTAAAACAGTTATAGCTCCTCTCACCTTAGAGTGACCTGCTCTGGGAGCTTAAGCGTTCAACACAAGGCCGTCTAGTCCTGTGGTGGCAGTGAGTGGCCCCTTGCCCACTCAAGGCAGCAGGTAACATATGTGGCACAGTACACACGAGACCAGGAGAGTGGGCAAGGTGCACAGGAAGGGCAGTGGCTTCCGTCTGTCTGTCTCGTACCTTGTTGAATTTCCTATCATGTAGACACGGACAAGCCCCCTCCTAGGACCCGCTCCCACGGCCTTACACCTGTCGGCTGGAACTGCCTCGTGCCTGCAGAACTGACCGTAGCCCTCACCAAGGTGAATGAGCCCTTAGTGCATGGGGCTCAGTGCCTAAGGTACATAGTAAAAATTACCTCAAAACCCCGTGGGAAGCCATGGAGACCACCACACGGATTCTCAACACATCCAGCGTAACCTGGCATTTTACCAGGTGCCAAAGCAGGTAGTTCGGTGAGCACCAGATGAAGCAGCTGATGTGAGTTTGGTAGCCGCCTTGTATGAAAGATTCCTGTAGCACTCAGGAAATACGGTGGGGGGTGTTAGTTAGTAACTGCTGTCACTATTGCTTTGCTTTCTGTCCTGGTGTACCCATAAGGCCACTGCGGGCGAAATGCACTGCGATGCAGCTTCCCACAACCCTGCCTTCGGACCAGGGTACGCCCCAGCCCATTGTGCTAATGACATCATCACACGAAATGTTTGAGTCAGATGGGAAAATACCTACCTTTGACGGGTGTCTCCCGCCTCCCCTTAAGGAGCTGTTTTTTAAAATACCACTTGATTCAAGGAACCCACATCTTCATACAAATTGTTAATGAAAATAAGCTTTATTACATCAAGTAATAAATACATACAAAGATGCAAACAGTGTTAGTCATTTTCTTCCAGATGTTTGGGTCAACTTACGGGAAGGGCGGAACTGAAATCTACATACAGTCTTAGGAAAAATTTCAGGGGTCCTTGTTAGGTTAGGTTTGATGAGTTGCTCTTTCTTCTGTATTTATAACTTGTGCATTTCAAAAATTGGTTTCAAAGCACTAACAGTCATGCAAATGCTTAAGCAAAAAGAAGTCACTTTAAGCAGAATCTATACGTACGGCAAACGGGACCAGCTACTAGGTGAAGCGTGCTATTTGTGCACTGAAAACGAAACTCTTAGAGTTGTACTAACTTACGAAAAGAAACGGACAATCTGGGCAACGTAAATGTGTTCAAAGAGAAACTCTAGTATCTTGGAGGCAAACTACAGTTTGCTGTGAGATAGATAACTTTACGTGCATCTTTTGAATCAATGCATAAAAAAAAAAATAACGAACGGAAAAAAAACCCTGGGTAGTTCCTAACTATTTAAAATGTAAATCCTAATCAACTGCGAAATGTCTTCTCGATCTTAGAGACTGTAGGTTCGGAGCCTAATGAGCCGTGGGAGGGGCCCGGAGAGGGGAAACAAAACTGTCACCATTCTGAAAACAAGTTTCATCTGAGCAGGGGAGATGAGCTGTAACTTCTTGGAAGAAGATGGAAAACCTTCTGTGCTGTCGAGGCAGCTAGGACCTGGCGTTCCGCTCCGTTTCGGCCAAGCACTCCCGAACCAGTCCTCTAGCGTGGATAATGCCTGGAAGAAAAGACAGAGGCTGAGAACCTTCCAGAAGAAGATCCTTTCACCGCCAGCCGGAAAACCCTCATGCTGGTGGGGAACTCGGGACCTACATCCAAACCACCCAGCACCCAAGCACCCAGGCGGTCTGAAACGCACCAACACCCACCCCATCCCGCCTCTCGAAGCCCTCCCGTCCTAGCCAAATCGCTTCGGGTCACCCTAACAAATAACATCCTCCTGCCCTCGGGGACAGCCAGCACCTTTCTGTTCATGATGTGACTCTGCAGTCACTGTGTTAGCATCTAGACGACGCGAGGACGTGTGTCCTTAAGCCTGACCCTCTCTGGAGACTCCACGCCTTCAAATCGTTATTTTTCTCTGGCTTCTAAATTCTAGAAAGGGCTTGACCGTGTCCAGTAGCCTGCACGTGTCGCGGTGCAGGATGACGACTGGCCACGTGCGCCCCACCTTGGCCTGCTGCGACGTGCCGCCCCCAGGGTGGCTGAGCCATCTCCTGCCCTGTTACTCTCCCCGTCTTTCCTCTCCATGGTTTTGCCTCTACTGAACTTCCTGAAATACTGATCTCATTTTACTAGACACCAAGAATCTATTCCGAGATTACTCCCAGAGGGCAATGGGAATGACATCCCAAGTCACTTAGGCGTCCATGCCACACAAGTCTCATCTCTCCGCGCTTCAGAAGACTTTTTCTATAAAGGGCCAGAGACACTGCCACGACTGCCCAGCTCTGGCACTGTGCCACGAAACCTGCCAGAGATGTACATAGCAGTGGGTGTGGCTGCGTGCCAATAAACCTTCACGGACGCGGAAGTCTGAATTTCACATCATTTTCAAATGTCAAAAGGTCGTCATTTTTTCCCTATTAAAAATCATAAAAAACATTCTTGGCTCATCGGCTGCAGTTTGCCAACCTATATAGACAATGCACCTGACTCCTGGCACCCTGTGACCCTGTCTCCTTGCTATGCCGCACACTGAGCTAGCCTGGGCTCGGCTGTTAGGGTGACTGTGGGACCAGCTGCTCACCCAGGACGTGCCCCAGAGTGGTCACCAGGTGTATATCCGTGTGCTGACTTGAACGACTGAATTTTGGGGGTGACTATAGACCACCTTTTAGACCTTGGGGTCCAGCATCTTCCTAGGGATTCCCATTTGGTGATGGGCATGCCAGTCACCACAGCTGGCCTTAATTCCCCAGTCCAAATGGCAGCCGGCAGCAGAGCGATGCCCACCGCCCCCGGGCTGGGTCAGTTAGACTCCACATCTCCCCAAGCCCTCTTCAGCCTCCAACTGCCAGTCCCACTCCGCACGCCAGGGCCGCTGTCACCCGGCACAGCTTTGCAGTCGGCCTTCACAGGGGCTTCCTAACCACCAGCAAAGACCCTGGCTCACAGAGCCTGTCCCCAGCTGACCCGGCCTGTCAGGAGTCACGGCCTCAACAGCAGCCCCCCCACTTTGTGCCTTAGGTTTGTAACTGAAGGTTCCTCTCTCCTTTTTCTCCAAAGTAGCTTCTCTAAGCCTTTTAAGAACCCCCCAAATCCCTCCCGAACTTGAATTCACACTTGGCCACGGTGCTCTGAACTGCCACCTTCTGAAATAGAAATGCCTTCCCCCTTCCGCTTTTACTTCACGAGGTAACAAACGATTTCACTTCCTCTGGAATCAGCTGGGTCAGTCACATCTTCACGTGAGTCACTTTTTCTGTGATCTCTTCTTCCCACCCGCCCTCCCCCGTCAACCATGAAAGACTTCAAAGAGTTCTCACTCCTCCCGCAGAAGAGGACAGACCCACACCCCCCGGGCCCGTGACAGCCACCAGGAGCAGAGCTGGCACAGGGCGGAGCTCCAGAGAGTCCTCCTTACAGCAGGTGGGCCTCCTGGCAGCACACAGGGCGAGCAAGGCTCGCTGGCCGGGCTGCCCCGCCTGGAAGCGCCATCTGAGGACAAGTGGCCGCCACGCCCTTCCTGTCGGATCCCAGGTCCACATCCCACAGAGCCGCTCACCCCGCCTGATGCCGGCACCTCCGACGGTGACTCAAACCAAACGGGAGCCCCTGTGACGCAGGGACTCCCCCCAACAACGTCCCTAGAAAATCTTTACCAGGAGTGACGGACGGGCCAGTGCTTTGGGGTCACCACCTGCTGGGAGCCCAGGCCCCAGACTCACCTCGTTTTAGTCTCTCCATGGCGCTCTTGCTGCCCGCGTAGGTGGGTCTGATCTCTTTCCCCAGCTCTTCAATGATGGCCAGCAGCTCGGCATACTTGCTTTGGGGCACCTGGCTGTTCCCAGTTCCCTAGAATCAGAAATAAAAGGGTTCAGATGGACTGAACCCCACCTGGCTCCCGTGCCATGGTCAGGAGGACCCCACCACGGTGCCACAACGGCCAGGGCAGGGCAGTGGGGGCAGGGCAGTGGGGGCAGGGCAGTGTGGCCCAGAGCCGCTGCCTGTGCTGGGGCCAGGCACATCCCCTCTGAGGGCCAGGTACAGAGCAGGGAGGTGGCCCTCTGCTGTCCTCGTTCACCCACAGAAACCACCCGCAGTCTCCAGAAGGCTCTTTCATCATCTCAAACGGCGTGTCTCGACAAGAAAGGGTTCACCAAGAATGTCCTAGGACCCGGCGGATGAGCGAGTGTGAGCAGGGGACTGAGGGTCCAGAGCGAGTGACTAGGACAGAGGCCACACCTGGGGTCAGCAGGACCACAAAATCCACCAGTGACCACCCGGACAGAGCCCGGAACGTGTTTAAACCACCCACCCGCCCCCCAGAAGCCCGTCCTCTGCAGACCCCGCACCGGCGGCCCCCCGGCTCGGCCCGCCCTCCCGCTCCGCGGGGCCCCCGCCTGCGCCCCCCTCCTCCTCTGCCGCCTCT